TTTAAAAAAGTCTTTAATTAAAGGCTTTTTCCTTAATTAAAGTGTTTTTGTCGTTTTTAATCCTTAATTAAGGGGTTTTCCTCCTTAATTAGAAGTTTGTTTTTTAAGGACTTTTTCCTTAATTAAGGTCTTTTTTTGGTTAAGGGATGTTCGCTTCAACTGGACAGCTGAAAAGACATGCAAGCAAGTTCAAAGCTGAGCTGTGCAGCACTCTGACACCCAAGTCTTCAGCACCTTTTTTCCTCACTGCAGCAAGGGAGGTTTCGGGAAGTCAGCAGCAAACTTGAGCAAAACAGCTCTGCTGACTGCAAGCACTGTGAACTCCCCTCCCCTTCTGGTAGCAAGCTGGCTCATAGTGTGGCCAAAGGATTCATCCCTATAGCTCCAGGTTCTAGATGGTGGCACTGGGCTCCTGGAGCATTCCAAAAAAGCATGCACTTTGGGCTTGGCCCTAAACCACTTCTGGCCCTCACAGTTTGTGAGGGCCAGGAAGTAAAAAGCGAACTTCCTGGCTCTGGTCTGCATTTTGGCCAGAGTCCACTGTGAAGCACTCAAAAGGGCATAGCAAGCTTCCAGGCTTGTAGCTGCCTGTCTGAGCCTGCTCTCGAATTCTGTGTCCTTAAGACAATACTTGTGCACTGCTTGTCTACAGAAGCTAATCAAAGCTCTGGCCTCTCCAGCTTTTGCCCTGAGCTTAGGCCAGGACTTCTTGTTCGACTTCTTATTCTCTTTGGTCAGCATGCCAGGAGTGAGTGTGGGGAGTCTGCTTTCAGCATTGGTCTCTTTGTAATATTCCTGGATCTCCTTGAAAAGGGCAAGGCATCTGGCCTTCTTGGATGGCCCTTCGAAGTAGGAGTCCACTAAATACTGAAAAGTTCCTCCCAGGAAGTCGGCCCCAACTCCCAAATCGACACAGTGCAACCAATCGTGCTTTATGCAGCTGTTCCTGAATCCTGGGCTCGAAAACAAATTGCATAGCCTCTTTCCACTGGCCCTCTCCCTGGCCACGAACTCATCATGGGAAAGAATGTGCGACCTGCAGGGGGCTCACAGGCAATCAGATTAAAANNCCATGCCCTACTTGTTTGCAGGAGAGCACTCCTAGGCAGGAGTGCCCTCCTGAGTTGTTACCAACCTCCAAGGGGCATCCATGGAGACCTGGTGGAGCTCAGTCAGGGTGCAGTTGCATTTGTGGCAAATGGGTCCCTTGCCCTGCCATCCAGGCAAATTCAATGTATCTTTGAACATTGCCCAATCCCCTCTGAGCTCTGCCAGGCAAGCCAGAAGACCAATGTCCCGCCCAGCCATCTTCCTTCTCTCGGAATCTGAATCCAAGAAAGGGCTCTGACAATGTCTCTGGAGGGGCCACTTGCCAAAGAGCAAACATCTAAATGACCAAGCCAAAATGGAAAAGACACTGTCCCATGTGGCACCTTTCTGCAAAAAGAACTTTGGAAAGGCTAGCAGTGGGAGCCTCAAGTCAGCCAAATGCTGGCTGATTGCTGGGAGGTTCAAGGTGACACACTCGACAGACTGTGTTCGATCATGACTGTATGGCACACCATCGACCCACAATCCCAAAGCTAGGACATTGTCTACTCTGAACTCATTCTTGAAGGCCTCCAAGTGCTCCTGTATGTCTCTTCTGTTGCTCAATTCTTCTTCTTGCAACCTGAGAATATCCATGCCTTCATTCACCCTGAGGAGGGCAGCAATCATCTCATGTGGCAAAAACATAGCCACATCCACTTGCTTCTCGTCTCCAGTCTTAGGGCAGAAAGCAGGGACACTTGCTATATATGGCTTTGGCCACAAGCTAGCCTTCATGGCTTTCCTCAATAGGTCCCTTGATGCATTGGGGTTGGCCTCATTTCGAGCTAAATCATCCACATGTTGAGCCCCTGCTAGCTTGGCACTGTTGACTAGTCTCTGTGTTCTCTGGCCGGAAATATCTCCAGCCAGGAAAAGATCTAGAGCTTCTGCTCGAAATCTTCTTTTCTCAGGCACATCCTCTAGCTGTGCAGCCACTCTTTTTTTATCCATGGCTGCCATGGTGAAACTTTTGCTTGATCTACAATTAGTTGACTAAGACAGCTTGATACTAAAAAATCTAAACTAAGATAACTTGATACTAAAAAATTAAACTAAGATGGCTTGATACTAAAAAAATTATCTGCGATCTGAGTGTAAGGGATGCCACTGGCAATTTGAGCCCCAGGCATGAGAGGTGCCTAAGCTTCTTGGCAAGGGTTGCTCACACAGGCAGCTGAGCAGCAGTTACAAGGCTTCAGCAAAACAAAGCTCACTCTGAGAAGGACTGCATTCCCCACTTCATGGCTGCACATGAAAACAACTTGCAAAAGATGCAATCTGCTTTTTTTGGCCTTTGCATCCTCCAGCAATCTCGTTTTGTCCACAATGGCATGCTTCACATGCCAGCAACACCCCTCCAGTGCTTCAAAAAGGTTGTCAGGATTGCTTCATGCTGCTTGCATTCAGTAATCAGCTCAGAAGTTGCTTTGATTTCCTTCTCTACATCGAGGGCAAACTTTTTGGTTTCCCAAAGATTAAATCTCACCAGCTCAGGCCTAAGCTTGGTGTCTGTGAAAACCTTCAGGGTTGACATCTTCTTCTCGATGTCCTGGCTGATCTTCTGGTAGAGGTCCTTATCCATACTGAGCAAGGTGCTGGCACATTCGAGGCCATCATCATGAAGCTTCACTACTCTGGCTTTCAGGGTCTTCAGCTGGGTGAGGTTTTTGGACAAGGCCTTGGAGTAGTCTATGGTGAGGCTGGCATCTCCACTTGCGCCGGAAGACCCTGCAAAATTCTGCAACATATTCTTGAGGTTGGCATCCTGCACGTCGGCTTGTTGCCGAAACTTGTTTTCCTCTCTGCTGGCACTTGTGTGGTCGGACCCCAGGCTGGCCTTGTAGTAGTACCTGTGGAGGAGTTTGTTGCTTGGATGGTTCTTGCTCTGCCTGGTGTGGCCAAACTCAGCCTCACTCTCTTGGAGGAGGTCCTCCAAGGTCTGGTCCATCTGCTTGTCTGAGAGCTGTGAGGGCTCCAAACCAGCGAAACCCAAAATCTGGTGCCTCAGCTGAATCCAAACATGTAGAAACCCAACAGTTGAAACCGCAGGAGGCTCCTCCTTTTTAGGAGGAGCCTCCTAAAGGGGTCTTGGTTGCAAAAATTATAAATTGAACCCAGGAGCATAGTGAAGAAACCATCCCTCTTCTTATCCACAGACTCGTCGATGGAAGTGGTTACCTGTTCCATATGGGTGTACCAGGTAAGGTCCTGCATTCCTGATTGCTGCAACCTTGCAAGAATCTTGTTCTTCCCCTCTGTGGTGCTCTGCTGGTAATCCTTAGTTGGGAAAGACATGCTGCCATGGAGGTTGCATTGCTTGTAATGTTATGAATGCAGCCAAAATTCTTCCAGGATTTTCTGTGCTGCTGCTTTGTGTTCCTCTGTTGCTTTCTTTGCTTTGGTTTGGTGCTTCAGGCTTGTGATGAGAGCACTGAGTGCTCCCCTGGTCACCTGGATCACTTCCTTGCTGCTGCTGCTGCTGCCAGGTTCGGCTTTCACAATGGCTTCTTCTTTCTTTGGTGCAGCTGGCTCTTTCTTTGCAGGTTTGGTTGGTGTTTTCTTTGGAGCTGCAGCTGCCTTGTTCTTTTCCTGCTTGATTCTGGGTGCCATGGCAACAACTACAGCAACACTTGCAAAGGAGCAGCTTCAACTTTGAGATTGCTGGAAGCAAGCCAGATGAACATGGAATCCGTCCAGGTGCAGGGCATGCAGGCAAACACTGAACATGTCTGAGAGGTCCTACACAAGACATGCATACTGTGGATTCATAATTGGGTTGCATGGCAGCCACTTCTGTTAAAAAATTGTTAAAAA